GTTTACGAACATTTTAGCGGCGTAGCATGTCTATGGGCGTAGCCGACTGATCCACTTCTTCGGTGTAGACAACTTGGCTCCTTGTATGCATGCATGTCTTCGGTAGGATAAAATTATCTACAGAAATTGTTAGTATATATAAATACCTTGCCAATTATTTATCAAAAGATTATCATTATATTATAATTAACTTGATAATTTACTGCTTGTGTACAGATTCTAGAGAACTACTTAAAATTGTATTGTCTAAATATAAACGTTGGCACTTGCACAAACTTTGCAGCGAAAACAAGTTAGTTGGAATTCGATACAGACGAGGAATAACATTCAATCCACCTCGTCAGTCATATGTCTTTCAAAGATGCCGCTTCGGCGGCAAAAAAAAATCAATACTTACCCAAGATGATTGAGAAAAGCGAAGTTAAAATCTGCCACACACGCCGACTTGCAATAAATCTCCTTTATGTTTGCTTACCAAGTGTCGCTTGGATACACAACAAGCGAATTTTGAAAGAGCAGGGAGTTCGGCACGTTTGTGGCGTCCGGGCGTGGTCCGTCGTATATTTTTATTGCCTCACTTTGTCGAAAACTTAACTTTTGCACAGTGTGGCGCACCGTTTGTTCTTGTTATTCGCTATCAAATTGTAAAGAATCTACCGCATTGTTTCATTGATGGCAATATACATATGTTTGAAAACAAAAGTTTTAAAGCAACTTCATGAGCATGATTTGTTTTGTGCTTCAACTTTATTGGAATAAACATTATGAATCTTTTTCAGCTTTAGCATGCCCAGGCGATTATTCCGTAAATATAAGAGATATCAAAAACTTTTAAGGAAAACTAAGGCCTAACTACGAATGTCATGTTAAATGTATGGGAGCGCTTAAAGTTAAAATTAAGATTTTTTTTAAGTTATTGATGTCGTTTTACTTATTAGGTAATAAATGTAGCGAGGCGTGAAAATTGTCATTAGTAAAGCCGGATCAAAACAAAAAACACTTGCCTTAACAAACTTATTAATTAGCACACAAGACACCTATCAGTAGTCCGAAATGACATTTTCCAGAAATAACATTTGGTCGAAATTTCATAACCTCGAAAGTAATTTTAAGAGGAGAGGAGGTTGTTTCTTTTAAACCTAACTTAACCTAATCGTGCCTTTGCGATAAACATATCCAACAACAACTGTTTCGTTATAATTCGGTTTTCGGTGTAATGAAAATTCGAACAAACGTTATTTCGGACAAAAAAAATTTCGACTTTGTTATAGGTTACCACACAAGATACTAGTACACTTTATTTCACTGGTTAATTAAAAAAAAATTCTATACGTAAAATTAAGTAAATTACTTTAAAATATTTGATGATACGTGAAAATTTTTAGACAAGCCGGTGGGAATCGAGTTCTATAGACACCTCGCCACTGTTAGGTAACTTACTTTCGATATCCGTTTAAAGGTTTTCGATATTTGCGGATTTATTGCCTGGGCACACTTAACTATTGCGCCCTGTATAGAAAATGTAAGGCGCAATACATCTACATATTCCAATTTCGAAGAAACGTTGTAATATAAATCACCGCCACCGACCGTTTACGATCTATCTATAGCACACCTTGAAAGATACTTGAGCTTTAAAACTAATTTATTACCAAAAGCGTGGTGTCTCGAACTTCAGGACGTGCAAATGTCTTCAAGTAAATAATATTGGTCGTATGTTATTTATGTTTGTTAAGTTATTAATGCACCTACAATAATGAGCCATTTTCCTGTTCCGTGTAAGAAATTCTACGAAGCTGCACACACTGGGTGTACTGCACTCCTGTAATGGCTTTATTATTAGGATTTAGTTAAATACTCAACCTCATAGAGCAACCTAGCTTATGGACTAGGTCACTAAGTTAAGTAGCAGTAGAGCTCCTTGTGAAAAAATCGTCCAGGGAAGTACTACCAAAAAGGGTGAAACAGGCGAAATTACGGGCACATGGGATTTTTCAACTTGTCTCAGGGTGATGCGCGCAGCGGCAGTGCCCCTCAGATCTTTGCGATTTAAAGCTCTGAGTGGCACTGCAACTGCTATGAACAGACGTGTCGCTTACCAAGTGCATGACTTCCCGTTACTTTATATTAAAAAAATCTCATACAATCTACACTTTGTTTCATAACAAGACAGCTACCGAACTACAGTTTCTGTATCTCTATCCTGACCTTTATTAAAAGACGATGTGCGTGTACCGCAGTCTGTTTAATCTTCATTAGTTGATTACACATGGGCTGAGAACTCATTTGCCAGTTGACCGACCTCTTTGATTTTACGAGGCGGCCTGTGAATCAGTGAAAGTGCATTCATTAAAACGGGATACGTATGTATGTAACTGGACCGTTCTTCATGACTAACCTATTGTACTGCAACTTGCAGGCCGTAAAGTTTACGACTTATACATTTGAAAGGACATCCATTCACAGCAGATGGCTGAAACTGTTAACTATATTCCTGAAATGCATATTTTTATTTACTTTACTAACTGGTGCCCGCGACTTCGTCTCTACTAGTATGTACTCGTAAAATAAGTACTGCTATTGTGCCTTATAGTAGCAGTAGAGCTCCTTGTGGAAGAGTTTGTTCAGAGAAGTACTGCCACCTTATCTATGTCCCACGATGTCGGGCGCAGTGGTAGTGCCCCTCAAATTTTTGTGATTGATAGCTCTAAGTGGCACTGCAACTGTTATAGTCAGACATGTCTCTCACCACCAGGCGATTCATTGATTTTCCATACATTTGCATACATTGACATTCATCCCCTATTTCACCCCCCTTAAGATTTATTTTTGTGACGAAAAGTAGCCTATGACCTTCTCCTAGGTCCCATCTATTTCTATACCAAAATTCATCAAAATTGGTTCAGCGGTTTAGGCGTGAAAACGTAACAGGCAGACTTACTTTCGCATTTATAATATTAGTTTGGATATTATTGAATTCCCGTTTATTACTCGTAATACGCGTATAGTTTAGTATTTATTTATCGAACATTTAGAAGATGAATAAACGGCACTATAACGATTGTTACTTTCTTCGTATTTTATTTAATTACCATTAAGTTCTTCAGACCCGTACGTATAAAATATCTTCATTATTTTCAGAAGTATGGAAATGTTTTACTTATTTCTTCGGTGATTAACAAAAATAGACTCGTTCAACCCCCAGAGACAATTGGTTAGGGGACGAGCCAATATCGAAGATTAAGGTTATATTTAGCGTGGTAACAAAACATTTGCAGGAGAGTCTGGTTAATTTTAACAAGATGAATGTTTCGTTAAAAATACAGTTTCGTCCGATACTTCAATTTCTTTGAATCAGAAAGACTTTTAATTTCGTGAAGTTACGATGCCAATTACTACTTCTAAATAACGGAGTTCAGAAATAGAACGTTTACTCAACTTAATAAAGCTAGAGTAATTAGATTGTCCCCAAAAAGAAGTTTTCGTACTGAAAATACTTCATCCGTGAAATTTATCGACTGAAGTCAGATATTTTTAGGATTTTGAAGTTGATTTAATTGACGAAACGAAGAGTTTTTTTAATATCATCCTTCCCCGTGACCAGGTGGCTTGCACACCGGTTTTCATGGTGTCATCATCTCTGCGGTCGCGGTTTTGACCCCCGGCCGGGTGAACATAGAAATACTTGTATATATTGGATCTGGGTGTTTGTGTCCGTACCGTCGTTGGTTCCGATTTCCATAACACAAATGCTATAGTTACTTACTTTGGGATCAGTGATGTTGTCTAATATTTAATATTTAGAATTGACGACCTCTGTGGCATAACCGTTTGCACTGTGGCCACTGGATGCGGAGATCTCTGGTACGAACGTATGTGATGTTGTCTAATATTTATTATTATTATTTGTTGGGATAGGCTTCTTGGTGCTCGTAATGTAAATGTAATATAATGGCTATGACATGTAAGACTTTTTATATTTCGTCTGACTCCGTGAGTCATGCATGAAATATTCAAGACCCACATCTGCTATGTGTGCTTATTTTGATACTCCAACCATATGTGAAGAAAGTTACGTAAAGGACGTATTTTTGTTGTTTATTTTAGCACTATACATGTGACGCGTGACTTTAGGGGAATATAATGTTCGTCACGAAATTAACGCTATAGATAATAATAGAATAAAGATAAAAATAGCATAATAGAATTGTATTTTTTCCTCGAATTCTTTTATTACTTACGATTTACGGTTATAAAATATACGTAATATTATTTCCTTATTATTTTTGTTAAGCGACTTGGAATTTTAATTCTTTGAAGTATTACTACAGTCATGGAGCGCTAAAACTCTTTTGATCTTTGAATACGGCTTCCTTTACATACAAAACTTCATTTTTATCTACGACAAAAACTCAGCACGATCCCTCGTAGTTATGTTTTGAAAGATTTATTTCAACATCTCTATCTTTCGTTGTTTATTTTTGTTAGTTTTTTTGTCAATAGACATCTGTTTTGGCTCCTTATTGCGGCTTCTATGGGTTAATGAATTTGTTTCATCTTGGTTAGATGTTTGTTGTTCGGTAATTATAAAGTGTTTACTTTTAAAGTGTTCGTTACATACATAACAATGTAGTTTACGTGATTTTCACAAATAATCTCAATGTGATAAATCGGAGTTTAAAATGGAAGTTGTTTTTATCGCTACAGATTAAATATTAATGTATGCCTTGTCCTATCAAAGGTCTTTAATGTTCTTACCATGCAAGATAGTTCTGTATACATTCGTTATCATATCAGCAGCAGCAGTGTCACAAGCTTGGTTCGACGCCTCTGCCTCTAGCGTTCGACGCGTGCCCCCTGCCGCGAACCCCTCTCGCCCCACCACCCGGCGCCTGACTGATGCAGTCTTCACTTAACCGTGGACGGGACCGCACCTGCGTTCCTCAAAAAAAAGCTTATCGTACGAGCTTTGCCATATTTATAATGAGTGTCAATTGTTTAAAAATATATATTTTATTGTTCCCTGGTCGTCGTTCTTGAATAAGTGTTTGTGAATCTGTGTTTACAAATTGCAACGGGCCTTTCGTCGCTGAACAGTGGTTAACGGTTTGGGTAGTGCCGGTTCCGTTTATTATTCACTTAAAATACATGATTGTGTTTACAGCAACGGCATGATTCTGGTTTATTAGGATCTTAATAACTTACAGGTACGTCTGTGAAACGGTTCTTTTGTTTTGTTTATTGTTCATATTTGTAACTAGTACCTTTAGTAGCTTACATGATTTTAGTTACTTTAGAATTCATATTTACTTTCATATTCCTTTTGTAAACATTTTGTATTTCCTTACCTTAGTATGTCCTTTGTAAACATTGAATTTCCGGAGAAAACTCTCATTATTACTCCAAAACAATGGCTCGTATGAACGACGCGCAACCATTTCTGGAAACAAAAACGTTGTCATAAGCTTAAATTACATCGTTGTTCATAAATCTTGTACAATTTAAGAGGCACTCTTGATGAATTGTAATATATAACGGTTCTATTTGGTACGTTTCTGTGATGGCATAAATATTTAATTATCCCACGAAGCTATGGAGGGTGAGGCGAGGGAGCGAGACGGTGATATCTGACACGAGGGTTGCCAACTCTGGCTGAGGGATTTTTGTGTGAATATCGAACCCACCCGCTCGATCCAACGGCTATTTAGTACATTCCATTATCAAGGTGCCTATTACGAACAGGAAGCTTTTAATAATAATCATTCTTCGTTATATTATTATTAAAACTTTTTAATTTATTACACAGTTTTGTATTTATTATTATATTAAAATAAATTACAGCGAAACATGACGGACGCGAAATACTTTGGTTCGTTAATAACTGTTATAGATTTATAAGTCAGATTCTAAGATAATTTAAAAAGTGAGCGCGGGTTATAAATATCTAAATTGGTAATACCTCTTCGAATAGATCAATCCTTTACTCCTTCAGGAATCCAAGTATAACAATTAACAATACGTTTTGTGGCTAAAGGATCTTAGTTCCTGTCAAAAGTTAAATCAGCCCGTAAGACCCACAGTGGACCCACATCACGCAAGTTCCAACATGACTTTGCTAGTTTAGACATGCCTCAAGCACACCTAATCTCAAGTTTCCTTGCGTCCACCCAGAGTTAATTACTTGTAATGCTATTTAACAATTTTATCAGTTGCTAGTACCAGCTAGACCACGAAAATACTGTCAGTAGCTGAGTATGGTCGAATATTCATTACAAAACTCTAATTTAATTTAGAAACTTACCCTAAAAGTTTAGAAAGAAAGAGGTGGCAACAAAATTTATAACACTTAGCAACTTTTAGCGAAAAATGTACTTTCTAAACTCAACTCAAAGTTGTGAAGAAATGTAACCAACATCAAAAAATAGAAGAGCTGTACAGTTCGTACGTTCTTTGTTCCCAACAATAGAATAACTTGTTATAATATGGACTAACACGATAGATGTTTTATGACTCTTACAAACTTTCTCGCTATGTGTACTTCCGATTCACACAAGCACTCTTTTAATTACCGAGTGAGAACTGTTACATTTAACTCTCTTGTATAATCCAATTATGTATTCCTTTCTTCTTCGTATTCATATTAGAAATTACGCTTTCGACTTGCTAAATACTGAATTATGTTTGTAAATATTACGTACTTACAAATTACTTGAAAGATAACACAATATAACGTTCTCCTTTCTATTATGTCAAGATATTGTGTATGATTGATTTTTTTTTTGCACTACGGGGAATCTTATCCCGTAGAGTCATTAGATTTTTAAATAACGTATTATACTTTAATGCATTTAGCACCTTTTATGATGAAGATAGACATTACATTTGATTGTCGTGATAGATTATGAGTTTGATTAAATTGATTCTTCACTTTTGAAGGGAGAATTTAATCTAATCTAGTAATAATTTAATGTACTCCAATTTAGAGTGAATTATCTAGACTGACCAAACGAATTGCGCCGACGTGACCAGGGCTTTTTATTATTAAAAACCAACTTTGGTTTACTTGCTTCCTTCCATGTATGAGTTAAACAGATTTACAAATTCAATAAAAATATCATCAGAAGCACGAAGTTATCTCGAATTCAATTTAATTATGTTTACATTATTATGTAATGTGTTTGTTATACAATATCCTATAGATTTATCCTTTCAAATCTCGATACTTCACGTAATGTGGGAGAATGTTGGGACAGAAGTCCGGTCCTCTGACCATTAACGAGATGGAAGCGCCCGGTGACCCGTCTGAGGTCAAACGTCAAATCAAGTTTTACTCTATCATTCATGTGATATGCATAATTTAACAGTACATGTCCCTTTCACATCCACTCTCAACGCCTACACTTGAATGCTTATACTCATACTTAATCAACCTTAATTAAATAATAACTCGCAGACTTACTCTTCTATTAAACTCAATTGAAATGATCCCAATATTACTAACTCTAAAATATTGTTTAACAATGCCTTCTTGTTCAGCTAAACGTATTTGAATTTATATGTTAAAATCCGTTTGTCGAGTCTACGATATTAATGCGCTTTTATTGTCTGCAAGAGAACGATCACTCATAGTTAAGAGGACGCTGACCCTTTCAATCACTTGAATCCGATCTGTTTTATTGACATCAACGAGTGTTATCATCTGAACAACAATGCGACACGCCTCATTGGTCAGCGTTATTTTCATAACAACGGCGATGTTTTTGCCGCATACCCCTTTGTCACTGGGAAGTGTTGTAATCACTCCAAACTGTTGTTATTAAGATTGTATAAATCGGCCCAATTGTAATGTAAATGACGACGACGCATGCGTTGGTGATGACTCACACTATTATATACGAGGAAAGTTAAACACATTAATATTAAATCTGTTCACGAAGAGATTTTCATCCTATTAGTCACCTACATTGTGTGTCTCTGTAACTTAATGTTGAAACATTCTTCCAGTTGTTTTACGTAATAAGTATTTGTATGCACTGAAACGGTTTCTAAATATTCGGTATGAATTTTATAAAAATGTCTGTCACTGGCTTACCGGTTAACGCTAAATATTTCGATCTATGCTTGGCCTACTCTCTAGAAAATGTATTATTGCACTGGCGATAATTATATAGCCCGCTAAGCGTTTAGCAACAAGATGTGATCTTGCTGTGAAACGAAAGTGGATTTCATCTCTAGAAGAGGCACTTGCCCAAACGCAAGGAATGTATCTGGGTTAACGATGTTTATTATAAATACGGATATAAATATGTTTCGTCTATCGCTTTTGCTATTCCCATATGATTGATTGCATCTGTCAAAGTAGGTCATTCCTTTTGCGTTCTTTGTATGTGTTCTCAAGTTTTATTCATAAATATTCCTTGTCTGAGGAATTCCTAATTACAAAGATCTTGGTTTTGGTTCACAATCGGATCAAAGGGCGCTGACCCTTCTGCGGTTATTGAATCGGTGGTAGTCATTAATATTTATGGGTTGCACACTCTTCCACCGTTTCAGGAAAGCGGACACCTGATTGTTTGTCCATAATCTCGCCTGCTTACTTTGACCACATGTTAATTAGTCACAAGAAAGTTATTAGCTTGTTTTACCATAGAGAAATACATACGAATTATACTAATTTGGAAGCTATAGAGAAGTGAAAAACGTTTCACCGTTCTTAGAGAGTAACTTTATGGTTATACATACAATATTAAAAGAAAAAATAACAAACAATTAAAGCTACCAATATGGTACAAAAATGTATAGGCGAACGCAACCCTGTATCTAGTGACATAAAACTTAAACGACGTTATTGTCTAGACTGCTGCAGGACATGACTAGCTTAACAACTCCGTGACGTGCGATAAAATGCGACTAAAGTCAATGTGTACCTCCAGAAGATATTGTCTTGCCATATCAGACACTATTCACCATTTCCAGCTGTACTTCGCATTAATTTTCTATGAAAATAGATGGAATGGCGCAGAGCAACCGAAGTGAGCGCCTTTGTACTTGGTGATTTTCCTATTTTCAGTGACTTTTACGTTGTTTCTCGCGTGAGAACTGAAGTCTGAAGAATAATATGTGATCGTAAGATAGGAACACGAAAATTCGATTTAATACGAAATATTGCCCGTGAATAGAGTTTAAGCACAAAGTTAACAACTCGCAAACCACAAACTAGTGAATACATGATAGGCAGTTCGTTATCATGTGGAATCAAGTGCTGAATACATTGATGGGCGGACGTGAGACGTAACTTGTTGCGAAACTGTAGAAGAACTTCTACAAACACTACTGACCCTACGCGTATAGGATTTGTAATCAGGCGCCACTGGTGAAACTAAAACCAATTAACGTTACTAACAATAGGTAATTGATTTTTAGATTGAATATTCTTGAACATCTTTAATTTTTGACCAGCAACCCGATCAATAACCGAAAAATTATATACATCGTGGAATTAAAATCTATAAGTACGTTATCGGAGTCAACAACATCCAAAGTAAAGGTCAATCGAAAGCTTACAATCAAGCATCCTAAGCCGTTATTGCTTAATCCTTGAATGTAAATAACTTATTCTTCTCTTGCAACACAATATGATATCATAAAATCACTTTCCGAAGCTGCACATGGCTTAGAGCAAATAAAATCAGTTCTGTGACAATCAGAACAAATAAGAATAGACGTCCCAATGCCGACGACTTGTCAAAACGAAGACAAGGTCTTAGTTATTGATCAGCTGTCCGTAAAACAAGTATACATAATTAAATATGCAATCTAACAGCAAATACAGGTCGCAATGGTTCATAACAGATAAAGTCGTCAAGATAACATGCTTGTGATTTTGACATGTGGAAATACATAAAGCTTATATTGTTCAACGTGGTGAAATAGTTTGTCTGTGTTTTGATGCAAACATGAAGATATTATCTTTGAAATTAAAAAAAGCTAATAATAATATTGCAAATAAACTCTAAATCCAGGCTTTGGTGGTAGTGGATATGTGCAATTGGCAGTTAATGCAAAATTGTGTCTAGAAAGAAATAATGGAAACGTAGTTCATAGTACTGTGATGGCTTTCATGAAATTTGTCGAATGACTATATTAAAAGGTCTGTTAATAGATTCTAATTAAAGTAATTTCGTTGCACATAATGATTGACGCACTT